ACAAACTACTTCCTCGAACGTTTGAATCAATGCTTCAAGATTTATGGGCGAAGAACGAGGAAGGATACGATTACATCAGCCTCATCGATAAAGAAATGTGGACGAACGCATATGATGGTGGATATCGATATTGACACATGACGACCAACTTGGCAAAGGCAATCAATTCAACTTTAAAGGGTGCACGTCACTTACCAGTAGCAGCTTTGGTAAAGACTATATATTTTTGTTTGGGGGCGCTTTTTGTGAAGTTCGGGGGACAAGCTCAAACCTGGATGCAAGGCGGTCATGTCTATCACCCTAAATTAGTTGCAGATCTACAGAAAAAATTTGTGCATCAAATGGAATGTCTGTAACAAGCTTCTCTAGAAGGCATGAAATGTTCGTGTCACAGAGTTACCGCGACCTCTTCAAGGGATTGAAGTTGTGTCGTTAAGAGTAAATCTAAGGGACAGAACGTGCGACTGCGGGTTTTTTAAGCTCTTAAGTATCCATGCTCTCATGTGATAGAATCTTGCTCGCATACACGTCAAGACTATAACCATTTTGTGGATCCCGTATACCTACTATATGAAGTTTTTAAGGTATACGAATTTGAGTTTCCCCCCATAGGTAATGATAAAGACTCTGATGAGGTTCAAGATTGGCTTCTGATTGTACCAAATCTGAGATTATTGAGGGAGTGTGGTCGTCCAAAAACCAATCGAATTCATTGCGATATGTATATTCGAGAAAGATCTAGACAAGACAGAAGATGTGGGCATTGTAGAAACCCAGGACACACTAGAAAAACATGTCCACTTCTGTTGCCATCAAGTAACAATTGATGAGGAAATGATGTATTTGTTTATCAAATAATAATTCTTGTACTTTGATTTGCATTTACTTCAAGTTAATGTCATTCGATAATCGTTGATAAAGATTAAAAAAATGATACAATAATACGAGATTGGACGTTTGCGTTATATGTGATTATAATAAAAGAGATGATAAGTGACAAACTTAAGAAAGTTATCGAACAATTTGGTATTTCAAAATAATTGTAAATACAACAAACTTACAATAAGTATTAAATGGTAAATATAATCAAATTACAATAACTGATATTAAATGGTAATAAAAAAATTAACTGAAATACATTAAAAAAGTCAAACAAATATAAAAAAATAAAGTAAGTATTAAATGAGAAATAATAAAAAATTACAATTAAAAAGACCAATAAACTAAATACAAATATAATAAAAAACAAAATCTATCGATGCCTGCAACGCGAATGTGTTCCGCAGGGCGGTGGCTGTCAATCTCGATGAGGATTTCTTCGTATCACTAGTTGTGACTCCTCGCTGTCACCATCATCACCATCACAATCGTCACCGTCGTCGTCGTCCTGAGTAGGCACATTAGGTTGATGAGGAGCTGATGACGATGAAGCACCTCCATAGAATAAGGACACTGGAGGTGTATGACTGACTATCCCATCGGCCTGTGAAAACTGGGAAAACTCATAAAACCCATACATCGCTGAGTGTGAAAACTGTACAGAAGGTGTCTCTGCTGCGGCCATGGGTGATGAGGCTGAACCCGTCAAATATCCAACATATAAACCCCAAGTTAGATCTGTAAACATAGACCCATAATAGCCTCCATGAGGGGTCATCTGTGACGGTGGCGACGGCGGCGGCATCTGGTAATGGAAAGACGGTGGTGGCATCATATATGGCTGCGGTATATAAGTCGCTGGATACGGTGGCTGCTGTGAAGGTCCTGCTGGTACAGTTGAGGATGAACCTAATGCACTTACTCTCCGTCCACGAGTCGGGGGATGATGGTACTGCATCGGTAAACTTCTCTGTCGACGTCGTGGAAAGGTCTGCCCTTGTGCATCATCGGGAAGCAGAAATGGTTTCCCGTTACTGTTGAACCACTCGTAATAACCGTCAGCAACCATCAAGAGGTCATCGAAAATGGGCTCTCTACGGGGAAGGTGCCGATGTCGATCCTCCCACAACACGACCCACGCATGATGCCTCACCAGCCAATCTGTATCTGTCTTGCAGCGTCTATCTGTGTTATGCAACTCGTCCATATTGCGAGGTGCTTCCGGAATTGGTTGAAAATAACCAAATTGTCAGAGCACACGATCAGTAGAGTGTCACTCGACGGTCGCATAACAGATCAAGGGGACCATCGCCATCCAAACATCTGATGGGCCCCTCAACTTAGGTGGAATCACCGCCCTCACATCATCAGTAGAATATGACACCCATTCAAACTAAAACAAATATATATATATTGTATCAAAATAGTAATCTAATTATATAACTATAATATAAAATCGATTTTTAAACATTAAAATTCATACAAGTGTGCCAGCCTTCTGATCGATTAACACCCTAATTTTTTCTAAATCATCAGGTAGCTCCTGATGATTTTTCCTATCAGTAGACCACCTATTCAAGAAAAATAATTTCTTATTCACTGTATAAAATTATTAATATACAAAATCAGTTTTATAATTACCTCAGGAGTAGCGGAAATACGAATGGGTTCTTGACAACGGGACATAAAAAGGGCAATCGATACCATGCCCAAGACTGCAGCAGCAGAAGACATCCGTAGCATTACGCTTGTAGTCAATGGCTCGACACATCTCCCTGTACAGGCAAGCCAAAACTGTCGAGCCCCAACTGAGTGATCCGGCCAGATGAAAGTCGCCAAAATGTTACAACCACATACAGTGAATTTGGTTACGCGATTTGTCCGACATCAGCAACCCTCCTATTAGATGCAATATGCATGCACGTGCATACTGTTTAACTTCATCGTCAGACGCGTACTCGCTCAACTCCCGAAAATAGGCATCTAACCAATTTAATGGTATCCGTCCACCGTTAAAATTTTCTGGCACACGTCCTAGACTAACCCGACACAAAGTAGTCCAAGAACCAGAAGTTATCCCTAATATCACACCTCCATCCACCGGAAGCCCTAGGTGCATAGAAATATCCTCAAGCGTGATCGTACACTCTCCGCACGGAATATGGAATGTGTGGGTCTCCGGCCTCAACCGCTCTACTAAGGCAGAAATAAGGTCTAGTTCTATCTTACAGTGACCCTGATATCTACCTAGGTGACCGAATCCAGCCTCTACTAAATACGGCATTACACTAGTAAGTATAACTAACTTAAGGTTCCTAATAAAATGATCTAATATATGATCTCTCTCCTAAAATATAAATAATTACACAAATTAATTTTTAAGCTAATAATCATGCATTAAATAAATTAATTAATTAAATTAAAACATTAAAATGTTACCGTATCAGCAAAGTGTCGAGATATATGATTTCCATCCAACCAAAGTAGACCACCTTCCAATTTATATCTGCAAAAAAAATTAATTAAATAAAATATTAAATAATTAAAATAATTAAATAAATTAATAAAAAATATTAAATATAATAAAATATACCTTAATAAGAGAATATATGAGTATTTGAGAGAAATTGATAGAGGATTTGGTGTGATGAAAGTGATTAAGAATGAGGTATTTATAGGGAGGGATGGTAGGTGTGAACGGGTGGGAGTAATTTGGTAATTAAGGGTATAGCGCGGGATAAGGGATGCGCCTTTCTGACGCATGTCAGAATCACAGGTAAGGCGCAGCCCCTGCGCCGCGCTATACTCTTAATTACCAAATTACCCCCACCCGTTCACACGTGTATCCATGTCAGCATAAGGAGCGTCTCAGGGGCGCATATCAGGGGGGCGCCTTACCCCATTTTGCGCCAAATCAGCGTATAGCGTATTACAGGGGCGCGCCTTACTGCAAAGGATGTTAGATCGGGAAATATAGTCTAATCGATGTTAGATCGATATATATACTGATCACCGATGATTTTTGGGGAAAATCGCCTCCATTTAACTATCACTACAATTATATTTCTGTCTCTCTGTCCCAAGAAGCCCTAGATTTTCTCGTTCTTTCACCCTGACTCTTCTCCTCTCAACTCTTTATTTACTTCACTTTCCCTGTTTCCTAACCTTTGTATTATTATCTTCTTCTTCATTGTTATTTGATTCTGTTTATTAGGTATACTTTTTATAAAACTAGGCGCTCTACTTCAATTTAGTTTTATTTGGGCCGTCTTTTAGTTTCCCCAATCTGGTTTCATTGCTCGATTCGATCTCCACATCTGACCGTTTGACCGATTGATTTTCAATAGTTGATTTTCTTTTTCACTTTTTTTCCTCATCCGGTTTGCTTCATTTTGCTTTCTATAGATTTGAGAATATATTGTGGTTTATAGTTTTATTAAAATCTTCTACAAATGAAAGTTTCATTTTTTAGGCTCATCGTCCTATGCATATTATTTGGTGTCAAAACGTGATCAATATTTGGCCGTTGATTGAGTTGGAACAGATTCGCAATACATAATTTTCCTATTTGAATTCTTGATTATTACGGTTAGGATTAAGTAAAATTTGCAAGTGTCAAAAGAATAAGAAGGAAATGTTAATGGTGAGCTTGATAAAATGGGAAAGGAAAGCTGAATACGTTCATAATAAAAGGAACAAATTAAATAGGTGGTATTAAAAGCTGGATGGATTTTATCTTGGGGTTTTGTTTCTCATCTTTTGCTTTTTCTGGTTGTTAATGTTTCCATCCTTAAGTTTGTAAAACTGTTTGATCGAATAAAGTAAATGTGAGTAATTGATCCTTCTAGTTGAAGAATGTGGTATAAATTGTAAAATGGAAGTATCATTTCATTTGGAGGCTGAAACAACTAGTTTGCTTAGGTAAATGGGAAACTACATTTGCTGAAACCTCCCCCTCTGAGATCCAAACAATGTAATTTTCTCTCTTAAACAAATATGGCTTCATTTACTTTGCAAAATTACTGACTAGATTCTTTGTAATTTGGGAGCTCTTGTTACTATCTAATAGTTATTGAGTGGTATGCAGGGGCATAGCTTGGGAAAGGGGTGGGTGGGTGGGCTGGCAATTGCTCTGGCCCGTCCAATCTTATAATTTCATCAATTTTTTATCTCTCCTTACCCCACTATAAGATTTCTTGCTCTCATCCCCAGTTGTATGATTTCTAGTTGGCTTAGTTGATGATTGATACTTGCTGAGGTTGTTCATGATTCCACAGGCAAACTCGGCTTCAGGAATGGATGTGCATGATGATTGTAAGTTGAGGTTTTTAGAACTGAAGGCTAAAAGGACCAACCGCTTCATAGTTTTCAGGATCGAGGAAAAGCAAAAGCAAGTCGTTGTGGAGAAGCTTGGTGAACCTACTGATAGCTATGAAGATTTCACTGCTAGCCTTCCAGCTGATGAGTATGTTAAAAGTTTCAAAGTTTGGCAACCAACTTTGGAAAATGTTTTTTCAAAGTTTGGTAAATGTTTCTTTGAAAAATGTTTTTCAAAGTTTGGTAAAATTTTGGTAGATGTTTGTTGAAAATAGGAATGGGTAAATTCACTTTAGTCATTGCACTTTAAGGTATTTTCAAGGATTAGTCCCTAAGTTTCTACTATAAATACCCTTACCCATTTAGCTTCAAAATCATCCCAAAACATTTCTTTCTTCCTATACTAGAGAGCTTTCTTGTGAGTAGTGAGTGTTTTGTAAACACCTGTAAATTTTCTCTCTTAGTAAAAGATCTGCAGCAGCCCGAAGACGTAAGCACAATTGGCTGAACTCCGTTATCAATTTTCGGGTATTATTTTTCTGCTTTTATTTCGCATTCTCACTAATCTGGTTATAGGGAAATTACTTGTACTCGGTTTATTTTCCTAACAACTTGTATCAGAGCTTTTGGTTGTGAATTGTGTCAAATTTTCTGCGAGGTTACTATTCATTACTATTCACGTGAATAGTGAATTTTGTGAATAGTGAAATTCGGTCGGCGATACGAGTTTGTCGACGGTGGTGTTCTAATATACGGTGATTCGCAAGAATTGTCAGAAACGATCCAAACGAAGCCAGATTCGAGTGGGAGCGATGGCTACAGACGAAGGGAATGTGAAAATTGAAAAGTTCGATGGTGCGGACTTTGGCTCTTGGAAGATGCAGATTGAAGATTTTTTGTACCAGAAAAATCTATATCAACCTCTCTCAGGAAAGCAACCAGAGGGCATGAAGGATGAAGATTGGGCTCTTCTCGACAGACAAGCCCTCGGAGTTATCCGACTGACGTTATCCCGCAATGTTGCTTTTAACATAGCAAAGGAAAAGACCACGACGGGTCTTATGGCAGCTCTCTCCAGTATGTACGAGAAGCCATCGGCCTCAAACAAAGTTCATTTGATGAGGCGATTATTCAATTTGCGGATGGCGGAAGGGGCATCGGTGGCACAACACCTAAATGAACTCAACACAATCACAACCCAGTTGAGTTCAGTGGAAATTGAGTTCGATGATGAAGTTCGAGCTTTAATTCTCTTATCATCTCTACCAGACAGTTGGAATGCTACTGTTACAGCAGTCAGCAGTTCGTCGGGAAACAACAAATTAAAATTCGACGATGCTCGGGATCTGGTATTGAGTGAAGAAATTCGACGAAGAGAATCGGGTGAAGCATCAACCTCCTCAGCCTTGCACACGGAGTCTAGAGGGAGAACTTCAGAAAGAATATCAAATCGTGGCAGATCAAAATCCAGAAGGGGCAAATCAAGAACAGGAAATAAAGATTTTACCTGTTATAATTGCGGCAAGAAGGGTCACTTCAAAAGAGATTGCCGAGCACCGAAGAAAAATACCGGCGCACAGGAATCTGCCAACATGACGGAGGAGATAGGTGATGCCATGATTTTAAGCGTCAACAGTCCGATTGAATCATGGATCTTGGATTCAGGGGCATCTTTCCACTCCACCCCATACCGAGAAATCATGGAGAACTATGTCAGTGGTGATTTTGGGAAGGTTCATCTAGCTGATGATGAAACCTTGAAGATCGTCGGAAAAGGAGACATCCGACTAAAGCTACCAAACCAGACCACCTGGAAGCTGACAGGAGTGAGACATATTTCTGGCCTCAAAAGAAATCTGATTTCTGTTAGACAGCTTGATGGAGAAGGATATAGTACAACTTTTTCAGGCTGTGAAAGGAAGATTACCAAAGGAGCACTCGTCATTGCTCGTGGTAAGAAGACCGATACTCTCTATGTAACCTCAAATTTAGAGAATATCATTACAGTAGCAGATGCTGATGGAAAATCAAACCTATGGCACCAAAGGCTCGGCCATATGAGCGAGAAAGGAATGAAGATACTTCTGTCAAAAGGGAAGCTGCCGGATCTAAAGAATGTAGATGTCGGACTATGCGAGGATTGCATCTTTGGAAAACAAAAGAAAGTCAGTTTTACAAAGATTGGCAAGACTCCCAAGGCATAAAGGTTAGAATTGGTTCATACTGATGTATGGGGACCATCCCCTGCTCCATCTCTTGCAAGCTCACTATATTATGTCACCTTCATCGATGATTCAACAAGGAAGGTGTGGGTTTATTTTCTGAAGAAGAAATCAGAAGTCTTTGATACCTTCATAAAATGGAAGGCCATGGTGGAAAATGAGACTGGTTTGAAAGTCAAGCGGTTGAGGTCTGATAATGGAGGAGAGTACAGAGACAGTAGTTTCAGAGATTTTTGTGCAAACAATGGGATCAAGATGGAGACAACAGTTCCCATAACACCGCAGCAGAATGGCGTAGCAGAGCGCATGAACAGAACTCTGAATGAACGTGCCAGAAGCATGAGGATACATGCCGGATTGCCCAAATTTCTATGGGCTGAAGCTATCAACACTGCAGCTTACTTGATCAACCGTGGGCCCTCAGTTCCTTTAGATGGCGGAATACCAGAGGAAGCTTGGAGCAAGAAAGAAATAAACCTTTCACACTTAAGAGTGTTTGGTTGTATTTCTTATGTACACATAAACTCTGCTGAAAGAAGTAAACTTGATGCCAAGTCCAACAAATACGTCTTTGTTGGTTACGGTGGTGATGAGTTCGGTTACCGGTTTTGGGACTACGAAAATCGAAAGATCATCAGAAGCAGAGACGTCATTTTCAATGAAAATGTGATGTACAAAGATAGGTCAACCGCAGAATCAAGTAATACCGAAGCTGAAACAAAGGAATTTGCTGAGTTCGAGGAGATTTCTGGAAATGATGTTCAGATCAATCCTGAAATAGTTCAAGAAGAACCACACACACCAGAACTGAGACGCTCCTCCAGAATTCCTAAACCAACCCAACAGTATTCGCCTTCTTTGCACTATTTGTTGCTGACTGACAATGGTGAACCAGAGTGCTATGATGAAGCAATGCAGGTGGAGGATTCAGTCAAGTGGGAGTCTTCCATGAAAGATGAGATGGACTCGCTTATGTCAAATCAGACGTGGGAATTAGCTGAATTACCACCAGGCAAGAAAGCGCTCCATAACAAGTGGATTTACAGGATCAAAGAAGAACATGATGGGAGAAAACGCTACAAAGCAAGATTAGTTGTCAAAGGTTTTCAGCAAAAAGAAGGTATTGACTACAATGAAATTTTCTCTCCAGTCGTAAAACTGTCTACAATCAGACTGGTGTTGAAAATTGTAGCTGCGGAGAATTTACATCTTGAGCAGTTAGATGTAAAGACAGCTTTCCTTCATGGTGATTTGGAGGAAGAGATCTATATGAGGCAGCCAGAAGGCTTCATAGAGGCAGGCAAGAAAAACCTGGTATGCAGGTTGAAGAAGAGCTTGTATGGTTTAAAACAAGCTCCTAGACAGTGGTACAAGAAGTTCGATAGTTTCATGAGTAGCAGTGGTTTTACCAGATGCCAAGCAGATCATTGTTGCTACATCAAGAGGTTTGACAATAGTTTCATTATTTTATTGTTGTACGTTGATGACATGCTCGTTGCAGGCTCAAACATGCAAGAGATCATAAACTTGAAGCAAAAATTGTCGAAGCAGTTTGCTATGAAGGATCTGGGCGCTGCAAAGCAGATTCTTGGGATGAGGATCAAGAGAGACACAAAGTCGGGGACTTTGATGTTATCACAGGCTGAGTACATCAACAAAGTACTCTCCAGGTTCAACATGCAAGATGCTAAACCAGTAAGTACACCTTTAGGTGTTCATTTCAGACTCTCCAAAGACCAATCACCAAAGACGGAGGAAGAACGTGCACACATGGTGAAGGTGCCGTATGCCTCAGCAATTGGAAGTTTGATGTATGCCATGGTTTGTACCATACCAGATATTGCTCATGCAGTGGGAGCTGTTAGCAGGTACATGAATAATCCGGGCAAGGTGCACTGGGAAGCAGTCAAATGGATCCTCAGATATCTTCGGGGTACCACAAACAAAGCACTTTGTTTCAAAGGTGGAGATATGATACTGACAGGCTATGTAGATGCTGACTTAGCCGGAAATGTCGACATCAGAAGGAGCACTACAGGGTATGTCTATACTCTAGGAGGAACTGCAGTGAGTTGGGTTTCTCAACTACAGAAGATAGTTGCTCTCTCCACAACTAAAGCAGAATATGTCGTTGTTACGGAAGCCAGCAATGAGATGGTTTGGCTCCAAAGTTTCTTGGAAGAGTTAGGCAAAAAACAAGAAAACAATATCTTGTATTGCGACAGTCAAAGTGCTATCCATCTAGCAAAGAATCCGTCTTTTCATTCCAGGACAAAGCACATACAATTGAGATATCATTTTATCCGGTCTCTTCTGGAAGATGGCATGCTAGAATAACAAGACCAGACATGTTGCTTCATTGATCGAGGTGTGAAGACATATTAAAATCAGTCTTCAAGTGGGAGATTGTTAAAAATTTCAAAGTTTGGCAACCAACTTTGGAAAATGTTTTTTCAAAGTTTGGTAAATGTTTATTTGAAAAATGTTTTTCAAAGTTTGGTAAAATTTTGGTAGATGTTTGTTGAAAATAGGAATGGGTAAATTCACTTTAGTCATTGCACTTTAGGGTATTTTCAAAGATTAGTCCCTAAGTTTCTACTATAAATACCCTTACCCATTTAGCTTCAAAATCATCTCAAAACATTTCTTTCTTCCTATACTAGAGAGCTTTCTTGTGAGTAGTGAGTGTTTTGTAAACATCTGTAAATTTTCTCTCTTAGTAAAAGATCTGCAGCAGCCCGGAGACGTAAGCACAATTGGCTGAACTCCGTTATCAATTTTCGGGTATTATTTTTCCGCTTTTATTTCGCATTCTCACTAATCTGGTTATAGGGAAATTACTTGTACTCGGTTTATTTTCCTAACAGAGTATGATTTCAACCGCTATGAAGATATGCTGTGTATGACTTCGATTTTGTGACCAACGAGAACTGCCAGAAGAGCAGGATATTTTTCATTGCTTGGTAACACTAAGTTTTTATCTTTGTGACGTGTTCTTTTCATGGATTTATCCCGAATTGCTTCACTTCTATGTTAACATTTTGTACATGAAGGTCTCCTGATACATCAAAAGTAAGAAGCAAGATGATTTATGCCAGCTCAAAGGACAGGTTCAAAAGGGAATTGGACGGTATCCAGGTAGAGTTGCAAGCTACCGATCCTACTGAGAGGGGTCTCGATGTTATACGGAGCCGCGCCAATTAATAATGTATCGTCTACTTTGAAATGCGACTTTATACTACCTGGTTCACATAAATGTAATGTCTATAGCAACTTTGGATATTGGAATTTGGAATTTGGTTTGATATTGGGTTGCTCTTATATCTGTGGATTCATCTGGGGTCGGTGTACCCCCTTTGGTGTCATACTTGCTGACCAATATATGATGGTTTGTTGGGGTACCAATTTCTTCACAATGACTACTTCTTGCCTCTACCTGTATTGCATAAAACATCAGCTGCAATTATGTATTCTCTGTCCTTGTAATTTTGTTACATATTAATTGGTAAGAACATTCGGAAGTTATCACCCAAAGAGTGGAAATGATAAAATTACTTTTAAAACATAGAAGACTTATATTTTAGGAGACTGAAGGGTAGAAAAAGACGATTTGAATAGAACAATTAAAAAAATAAAAATGATAAATAATTGGTATGAAAGGAATATTAGTGATACATAAACTTTTATATTACCTGCATTTGAACCATCCCAAATGAATTATGTCCTTGAGATAGGGCATCCTTGACTAGATGGGACAGCTTTTGATGGTGCCTTGACTAAATGGGAGAGTTATTGATAGCATAGGTATATTGCATTGTGTACGTGTCAAACTTATAAAATCAAATTTAAGAATTTCCAGGGAAAAAAAAGATAGTATAACCCATCATTTTTCAGTTTGTTGGGAATGGAACAATGCAAAACCGGTCGAACCAATCCTGTCCAGCCATGTAAATCAGTGTATTTAAGTTGGGGTCGGTAAACCGTCAAAGCTTTTGCTTTCTTTTGGGTAGTCAGCATAGAATGTCTGTAGAAGAAAATCATGCAGTGGTTTTTCAGTTTAAACTCTTCAGTGAACACTTTTGTTTTTTGATTCAAAACAAGGTTTATTAATCTTTTCTTGTATTACATCAATTATAAATGGTTAGTAGCAATTATCAAACGGGCCAAGGGAGGAACAAATTATGAATCATCATCACGTAAGGGAAACCAATAAGGGGAGTAGAAAATGTTAAATGGAATGTAGGACCCAACCGAGTTCAAACCGGAGATCTCTTGATCTGCAGTCCAATGCTCTACCAGAGGGTTATGGACCCATTTGATCTTAATTGGCAAAAATCAGAAACTAATACCCAAAGAGCATAAAAGGAGATAGAAAAAAAATATGAATGATCACACAGAGAAGAAATAAGGGAAGAAAATTAAAATTGAAACAAAAGCTCCAACTGGGTTCAAAATGGTGATCAGGAGTTAGATAGACCAATTTAACGTTTATTAACTAAAGAAAGGTCAGAGAATTGGAAAAATATGAATTATCAAGTATGGGGAAAAAAGAGGGGAATAGAAAACTAAAGGGCCCATCCAGACTCGAACCGGTGACCTCTAAATCTGCAGTCAAATGCTCTACCACTGAGCTATGGCCCCATCTGGCATTGCAAAAACGTGTAGTAATAAACTTTAAGTATAAAAAGGAGTTAGAAAAATAATTAACAAGGTCCAAATGACGTCTTTAATTGCAGTCCCATGCTCTGTACCAGAGAGCCTTTCGCTTTCCATCAACAGAAAGGTAAATCTATATATAGTAATGGCGTGGCGGAGGCACAATGCCTAAGTATACAACCAGGATGGAACCCAAACCTGATATTGAGGGCAGGGAATATTTAAACGTTAAAATTGGGAAGACAAAGGTTAAATTGATTAATATTTGAAAAACTAGTAATTTCATGAAGTTTATGCTCATATGTTTAGAATCTTTCGACCAAAAGCAAAGGCTATTTATATATTAAAAGAGGATAATGTTACACTTTTAAGAACCCTAAAAGAACGAGAGGCTGTAGCAGATGGCTCACATTGCAATCTTTACCTAAGAGCAGTGCCCCGGTATTTGCTTCCAAAATCGTTTGAATCCAGATGTTTTGCCGGGACCGATTGGTTTCCAAAAAGGAGTTGTGTGACATGCTGCAACAGAATCAGAGTGTCGAAAAACACACAGCCAGAGCAAAACCATCTATCTGCCATCAGAGTATTCGATCAGACCTCACCATCCCATCAATATTCTTCTTACTCTGTCCACAAGCTGATTTCGAGCTCGATTGCTTGTTAATGGAAATTCATGGCTGTCGTCCAAAAGAAATCTGTAGACTTCCTGTAGACATTTGTTTTTTACCGGATTTTATATTTTTATTTTTATTGTATTATTTATTTTTTTATTTATTTTTTTTTTTATTATTATTAATATTTTTATTTTTATTTTTTGTAGGCCCCATATACTACCCCACCATTACCTCACTCACTCAAACAATACCCAGCAACCATGTTTAACCCCCAACGTATCACAACTATACCACTACACCACTACACCACTAAAAAATCTGACCATAATCCCTGGCCATTACATACCACTTCATTTCCCCTATATATTCAACAAACATGCTGCTTTAAAAGGGGGGAAGACACAGACGAAAAGGGGTGGAGGTAAGGTAGTTTCGTTGGGTGGGGGGAGGCATGCACGTGTTCTTCATTTTCTTTTCCCCTTAATTTCTTTGCTCAAGCCCACTGCTCTCAACTTTTCCACACTCCACTATCTCTGCTTCCATTCCGTTTTTTGTACTATTTTTTGAATTAAGAAGAAAAAGGCTGATATTTTCATGTTAATAGTTTGGTGGTTTTAGTTGTTGGTGGTGATGGTGGATATCTGGTGCGGAGTTATGAGCGAAGGCGAAGCATCATCACCACCGTGCGAACCCAGTTCACGCTAAGTCAGGAGATGTATAATGGCATTTAGAAGGTTTAAACTCATTGATTTTGCACCTTCCGAGGCCGAGAATAGCCGGAAACGCCACAAGTTCCAAGCTTGCTGCCGCGTATATTCTAGACCGTGGAAACGATGGAGATAATTCTTCCAGCTCCGATGTAGAAAAATGAAAATGACTCCGCCACCGTTGGCTTCCACTATTTTGGTGTCTACGACGGTCACGGTTGCTTTCACATGGCGATACGGTGCAGAGAGCGTTTGCATGGACTGATGAAAAAAGAGTTGGAGAGTGAAGACAAAGAGTGGAAAGGAGCGATGGAGCGTAGCTTCAGGCGCATGGATAGGGAATGGATAAAGTTGAAAGAAAGTATGGCGGCCGGAGCTAACTGCCGATGCGAGTTACATTCTCCGGAGTGCAATGCCGTTGGATCCACCGTCATTGTTGCCGTGGTAACGCCTAATAAGATTGTTGTTTCTAACTGCGGCGATTCCAAAGTTGTTTTGTGTCGTAACGGCATCCCCGTTGTTTTAACGTCCGATCACAAGTTGATAGATCTATCTCTGGTGTTAGTTTGAGGTTCAAGTTGCAACTTCACAAGCTTGAGTATACTGGTGGAAACCATCGAAAAGCCATCACGTTGTTGATGGCATCAAGTACTCGGACAGATGCCGCAATGTCGAGCATGTTTAACAACAATCTGGGCAGCAACACTTTTCTTTACTTTTATATTTCTTTGCTCTCCCTGCATTTTTACTTTTACACTTTCTTTAATTTTACTTTTACAATTCCTTGCATTTTTACATTTCGTTATGCAAATTTGATATGGCAATGGGACGTGTTTTTTACATTTTCATTTGGTTTTTTTTCTTTTGGTTTTTAAATTTAATTTTTTATTTTAATATTTATTTATTATTTCTTATTTAACATTTTTGACTTTTTAGGGATACTTTCAATCGATCAAAGGTAAGTAATTGGAATCAAGTTTTTAAATTTTAATTTTAATTTTCGCAATTAAAGACAACCGACAAATTAATTGGTACCGAAAGGGCGGTTCAAGGGTGCTAATCCTTCCTTGACCGTAACCGACTCCCGAACCAGACACATTTCTGGTATAACGTAGATTAGGTAAGATGGTGCCTGACCCACCTAAATGTTCTTAAAATGGTCGGTGGCGACTCCTAACCCAAACCATTTAATTTAAGTCGAAGCCCAATTCCGGGCACAACCGAAAAACGGTTCCGACAGCTTGGCGACTCTACTGGGACAAGTAAGTGAGTCAGGCCGAAATTAATTTTCGGTTGTCTTTTTAGCGAAAATGGTAAATTTAAATTTAAATTTATTTATTCGATTCCAATTATTTACCTTTGATTATTTTTCAAATAAATAGTTGTACTAACATTGTTTCAATGATTTCAGATTTTCAAAGTTTCCATCTAAGGCTCTATACCCGAGCTCCGAACCCTATTTAAGTGAGGGTAAAAGTGACACATTCGTGTGAATTTATTCACCGCACAGGCCTAGCAAGTAGCCTTCGGGATTCATATACCTTATGTCTTCGTGTGAATTTATTATCCGCATAGACATAAGGGAATGTGTTCTCTCGAGTTTAACTTGGTCCATACAAGCCTGTGATGAGTTTAGGACTAAGGGTCTGGCAAGCCCAAGGGGGCACCAGCAAGGAGAACTCGGGTACCGTTTTTTAGAACCTAAACCGGGAGACTATGGAGAATTAGAGCCTACCCCAAAACCTCATTCAAAACCCTAGGCTACTTTATTTTCTGCTTTACTTTTTGTTCAAAGCATGTGAACTAGATATCATGCGGTTAGGATTAATTTTTTGTAAATACATCTTTGTGGGTAGAAAACATGTTTGGGTAGGATTACTATCTAATAAAAGCATGCTCGGGTAGATATCATGTGGGGTAGGACTTTTATTTTTCATGATTATTTTTTTATTATTTTTACCTCACTAACTCTTTTTATTTTTTCTCTTTCATTTTATTTTCATCATTCACATCATTTAAAAGAGGTGTTGATCCACCAAAAACGTGTTAGTTAAGCATGAATAATCTGCATTAATTGACAAAGGGGTTGTAATATAAGAGATGAAAATGCAGAGGACAGTCTACAAGGCGACTATGTGTCATATTCAATCCAGAAGACGTGGTGCCCACAATTGAAAAGTATATAACTCTATTGCATTATAAAGGACTCATAATGAACTAGATCTACATCAAGTACAATGAAAGTCTATATTTGAAGAACTGATTGGCAAAGGTTACAGGGGCAAGACGAGAAAAAGGTTATTGACCCGGAAGCTCCTTTCGAAAACTACGAGAACAAGATGGCGAAACCCTAGCTGAGCTGAATGCCATTGCTCACGAATTCAAGAAGCAAGCTTCGGATAGTTTCTATCGATGGAAGGCTCCAATGGTGTTGCCGTTAGGGAACAGACTCAACAAAGA